CGGCCGCCGCCAAGGGTCAGCGTCGCCGCGGCCTCCCCGCACCCGGAACTTAGGGTCCGCGGCGCCCCGCCCACTTGGCCGCCACGCCCACCCCCGTGGGGCGCGGGCCCGTACCCCTCAACTCTCGCGAGACGTGGTTTCCTGGGGCCCACGGGAGGTTTAATCCCCGGCGTCCGTGCTCAGGCGCCTCTCAGGCCCTACGCGGGGTTTCTTGTTTAATACTGAGCTGAAAAGTAGTGTGAAATTACGCAGCCGTGGGTTGCACGACCCTAGGAACTTTTAAGTTTGACTTTCACTTAGGACTTTTCACATATTAAAAGTTGAAGTTGGTAAGTTTGGCGAACCCACCCCGTGCTCTGTGGGGGCCCGGCCTGGAGGCCGGGGGTGCTTGCCGAGTGAGGTGAAGCGGCCCGCTGGCCACCGGGTGTGTTTAGGTTTCTCCCAGCCGCGCCTTCAGTTGTCCCGCCACAGCGGCTGTTTGTAGGACGTCCTCTCGTTCGTTATAAAGCCCTGAGGTGAGGGTAGAGCAGAAACGCGGGAAGCGGGGGCCAGCCCTCTGCGCCGCTCGCTGAAGGGCACCTTCCCGCACCTCCAGGGCGGGAAGCTGCCTCCGTGCCTTTCCGAGTGTTTTATCTCGTGCCTGGCACCATTAGGTGCTGAATAAATGTTGAATGAAGGCGGAATGGAGACGTTACCTTGTGAACTGAGGCATAGTAAAGATTTTGGAAGCTTTTTAAGTAGACATATAAAGTAAAGCATAATTATTGTTGGAAAGTTAGTTGATAACCTTTTGCTTGTTTCTTTTTAATTTACATGTTCCTAACAATTAGGTTTAAATTTACTCTTGGAAATTTTATGAGACACTGGACAGCTAGTCATGCTTTTAAGTTACCGTTCTCGCTGACAAATTCTGTAATAGAGAAAACGAGCTTGACTTAGTAAACTGAGGTAGAAGAAAAGTAATTAATGCCGGTAACTCTGAAGACACGCTCGTTTTAATTAAATCAAGCAACTTGAATTAGCTTTTATTTAGCAGAGATTATCCTAGATCATGTGAACTTGAAAAACATTTGCGTTAGTTTCTCTGTTTCTGTCAGGATACTTGATTTACATAATGTTTGTCTTTCAGACAATTAAATAGAACTCCTTACAAATTAAATTTGGCAATACTAACTGGAGGTTGAAAAAAATCCACGCATCTGTAACATCCAAACATAGACATAAACATACAAGCAGATGCAAACAGAGATCTTAGAGCTTTCGTTTTGTAATTTTAGCCATGAGACAGGTATGATAATGCCAAACTCACTAGTTTATAAAAGAACATTGGATCCAAATTGTGTTTCTGGCAGATGGAGTAAGTTAAGGTGACCTGTTCAGATAGCTTCTTACTAATATTTGTGAAACGTTTTTAAGATTTTTCATAGGCCTAGTTTTCAAAATAGACATTGCTTTTTTTCTCTCCTTCTGTTAAGAATTTACTTGGTTTCCAGAGAACCCCAAGAAGCACTTTTGTTCCCTATGTCCAGATCATTTACAAAATCTCCAGGTGTTTTGAGATAAATTGGAGAGGTTTAGGAATTGGTTTTAAAAAAAAAAGGATGAATGTGCTTTAAATTGTTTCTAGAGTCATATTTCTGTTCTTGTGGAAACCGGAGTTGTAACACAAGTACAGATGTTTTTAATTCCTCAAGTAATTGGGTTGCAATCTGAAAGATTCCAAGAGGCCGACCCATCCGTCCAACTACTTACCCCCAATGTGCTTCTCTATCAGGGAGAATATCTTCAACTAAAATGGAAATCACAAATTCCTACATTTTAGATTTAGAGCTGTGGGTCTTTGGAATGTTTTAGTAAATCTTTCCACAAAGACTTCAGAATGTTTTTCTTTCCCTCTGGGGACATAGTTTCAGTTTAGAGGAGAAGACCTAGAAAAAGTTGCTAAGAGGCTCTAAACATCAGCTTCCAATTTGGTCAGCTTCTCACCACAGAGCTGCTTTAATAATAATTTTAAAAAATCCTGTCAAATATCTTGTCAGGTTTTACCTGGGGCAAACAGTAAATATTCCTGGCAATACTGAACAACTGTTTGGAATCATGAGGCATCCCCCAAAAGTACAAAACTTACTGCCCTCCCAGACTCCAGAGCCACCCCCAGAGATAATCAAATGAAGACTCAGACGTTCCCCTGAGAGCTGGCAACAGTCCGCGGACTCAAGCTTCAGGGGGGTGCAAGCCGTGTCTCTGACAGGCCGTATTTGAGGCTCCCCAACCTGATGGCTGCAAAGCCAAGTTCTCAGGACACAAACAAGACAAACAAACAGCACATTGTCCCTGGCAGAGAAAGGACCAACAAATAGGCGCCTGAAAGCTAAGTCACAGGTCACAATTCAAAGATTTAATTCTCACAGATGTCTTTTTCCTGCCAATCTAGATTTGGAAAGGAAGGGACAATGTGGAATTTGACCTTTCTGTCTACCAGGACCACAGTAGAGGTGGGGCAAAACTGACTTTGGTAGAAACCCTCTCTTTGCCAGCTGACTTTGCCAGTTTCCCCAGGATCCCATCTGCAGGCTCTGGAACAAGTGGGGGTGTCCCAGGGGGTTTCCCCCTGGTCCCCAGAAACTGTAGAGGAGGAAACATAATGTTTCCTCCACTGTTTCTGGTGATGCCTGGCTGAGACCCCCTTTTCTCTAGGGCACCCCCACATGGATTAGCTTGTCTAGGTTAAAAGTGGCCATTGTAATTGGAGATTATCTTTGGTGAGTTGAATCTGCTTGATCAGCCTGATGTCTAAATTTAATTCACCTGATGCCCCATACTGGTGCAGGTCCAGCTTGAGTCAGACTCAGAATCTGACCCCAGACCCAGTCCGGTTTCTAAGTCAGACCCAGCCTGACTCCAGCCAGTTTCGGGACCCAGTCCGGACAAAAGAAATGCTCAAATGAAGTCTGAAAGCTCAGGATCCGATCCGAGGGGGACTTGCTCACGACCTCCAGAGCCAGTGAGACAGCCTGAGCTCGGGGGCTCAGAAGGTACCATGTTTCCTTGCTTTTTGCTCCTGGGCACGGGGGCTGGTGGGGAGGTGTGTGGTTAGGAGTGTCCGTCGGTTCTGAACTCTTCTGGCACCAGAACTGTTAAAAGATAACCTGATGAATATTAAATTTTTTAAAATTTATTTGAGCAAAAATAATTCAAATCAGGCAGCAACTAATCTAGCAGGTAGAAAGCAGCTCCGAGGGGCTGCACAAAATGAAGACTTACAGGCAGAACGGAATAGGAACGAGGTGGTTACGCAGGCAAAAAAGCAGGTAGGTTGTTTCAAGGTTGCTTTCCCTTAGGAGACCTCTGGGGTCTATCAAGCAGATAACCCTGCTAGTACTGATCAGGCAATTCCTGATTGACTGGTTTAAGATTCCATTTCTGGGAGAGCCGAAACTGTAATTAAGTCAACCCTTAGTGTGGTGAGGTGGAGCTTTGCTCATTTTGATAGTTCGGTTGCTTGGACAGATGGCCAAGCATGAACCTTTGGGGCCCTGGGATATTTGCCTAGATTTTCAAGGGAAGCCACATCATCAGATAGTTTTCAAGAGCATCTGTAAATCTATCTGGACTTGTAAAGTATTAACTTGGTAGGAACTATGAGGTTTACGAAAACTTCTTTGACTAACACTTGGAGAATAGTTTGAGTTTTAGTCCTAGAAGTCACCTCCTGTTACTCTCAGGTTTTCTTTTGGGTTTGCATATGACTGGATCCTTATGCTTTATTTTGAGGTAAATCTAAATGAAGGGACACCTGTCAGTCAGTTAGGTAGAAGACCTTGAACAAACAGTCCACAGTTTTCCCAGCATCCTCTCCAATTCTTTATTCTTTTAAATCATTAAGTATATATAACAGAAGAAATATGTAGCATCGCTGAGCAATCCAAATAATTCATTGTACATTATTTTTATTTAAGTTTAGAATGCATTACAGAACTTTCTTTGGTAAAATGCTAATGTTTCTAAGTGGAACTTACTTATAACTAGCAATACTTCAGGAGGGTTCTCAAGGTCTGGATTTTAAAATGTAGGGTAATTCGTGTAATCTTCCCTGGCCAAATTTTCCTCTTCGGTGAGATGGAGAAAATAATACTGTTCTTCCTTGTGAAGTTAGGGTAATGAGTTAGGAGATGTGAGAGAATGGTAGAGTACTACAGAAAAATGAATAAAATTCTATTGTTCAGTTGACATTTACCAAGCAATTGATGTCAGGGAGGAGGCAGTCCAGAAACATACAAAGCAGTGAAAAGAAATCAATTTGACATTCAGAATTTTCCACGGGAATAATAAAGAGTTGGCTGAATACCTATAATGCATTTTAAAGACAGCACTTAGAATTTTCTTGACTGTCTTAAATGGGAATTAAAAAGAATGTTTCCATCTACTAAAATTTGGTTTAAGCATTTATAAAGAGGATCCATGGCAGGGTTGTGAGATTTCTGGCATGTCTTAAAAACAGCATCCTCAAGCCTTACCGAGGAGCCAGCCTCAGATGGAACCTTAAATGATGTTACAAATAGAGCCTTCCTGTGTGGGGTTGTGTAGGGGGGGTGCAGGCTCCCCTCCATTTCCTCTAAACTTCATGGCTTTCAATTTATCAGTCTCAGAGGGATGAAGAGTTGAGTCCCTCCTGATAGCATTTGAAGCTGTGGTTCCACAGAGGATTTAATGCTGTAGTTGCAGGGAGCCTAGGTATTTCAAATCTGAGGCTTAAAAAACTAAGCCATCCCCTCTGGCTTTTGCACTGATGCTGTGAAATCCATTGGAGAAACATGTCCATGTTTCGCTGCTCGTTCAAAGCTGTGAGCGTGACTTGGCATTGAAATAATAATTTCTTGTTCAAAAACTCCCCGCTGAACTACTACCTGGGTTATCTACATACAGGTTATTTCTTTGACTGGCGTACGCTCTTGTCAGTTTCGCAAGGAATGATTGTTGCTAACGGTAGAGGTTTGTGGTACGGCGTTTCTCATTTATGTCCATTTTTACATTGATCCTGGGACACTGGATGATACTACCTGATTGTACATTCTGGACGTAGACTCATTATGCAGAAATAAGTGTCATCTTATTATTCTCGAAATAAGAAAGTATTCTTCCTTTCTGAAGTGTATTTTGGGGGTTCAAGCCTGTAAACTGGTTTGTCAAATCATAGGCGATGCAGTTATAAACTTTTTTTTTTTTTTTTGGCTTGTTAACCTTTAAGAGTCATCTTGGTGACTTCCAGGACCAAGATTCTGTAGTAGACTATTGTCCTGTTAAGTGATTTCTTTTCAAAGTAAGTTATGTACAGCGTAGCTTCAGTTCATTTTAATCCTGGGCCACTGCCATAATACAGTTATTGTAACAAGAAAATAGGAGACCATTCTACCTGGTGGAATCTGCTTCTATGACAGTTGTTTATAATGTTATGATGTCTTCATGAGTGTGATCCGTTACAGTAATAAAGGCTGCGGACAACGGAACAAACTTCATGGTGTCTTCCTTCCACTTTAAACATCACTTTGACATCGTTGGCTCATGTCACAGATGGTTTTAATGAAGAATTTAACAGTAAAAGCACAATTCTAAAAAAAAAAAAGACTCACAGCAAGTACTCTTACCACTTAAAATAATACTTTTTTGTTGATCATGATTGAAGTGGGAAAATATTCTCATATGAACAAATGTACCAATTCATCACTGTAACAATCATGTCAGTTTGTACCTTGTTGAATGGGTGTGTGTGTGTGTGTGTGTGTGTTTAATGGAGAGTCAACAGGTTGGGTGAGTGGAGGGTTTTGAGTAACTGGAAGTTCTCGTGAAGGTAGAGTTCCCATTTGGGTGGATGCGAGGGTGGGACAGAGAGTGGGAAGGTAAGGAGATTGTAATCAACAGCCACAGATCTTTTCACAAATGCTGACTGTTACATTCTAGGCTTCGAAGTCAGGTTCAGTCCTCCAGTTGAGGAAGAAACTTACAATCTGCAGTGGACTTAGCCTTAGAAACCCCAACAACGCTTCCCTTTTTCTCTTCTTCTTTCCTTACCTCCTTCTCCCCCACTTCTGTTTCCTGCCTTCGTGCCTGCCTTCCTTCCTTCCTCCTTCCCTCTTCTTCCCTCTCCTCTCCTTCTTCCCTTTCTTCTTTTCCAAAGTGTTTACTGGTTGCTTATTATGTCTCGGGAATGTTTTTATGTGGTGTAGATACAGTGATGAACCAAACAGAGAGGTTCCTACTCTGATGGAACTTATCTAAACTACCACCCAAATATGTAGAATGTTAAAGAGCAGGGAAGCCCTGGAGAGAAATAAAGCAGTGTGGTGGGGTTGCCCGGGTGGGGCGTGCCTGGCGAAGGTGATGAGAAAAGGTGAGATTCTAGATGGGGTTCGAAGGAGAATCCTGTAGACTTGCTTGTGGTGTAAGGGAGAGAAGGAGGTAGGTTTGGTACCCAGGTGTGGCCAGCTGCGTTGGCTGGCGTGACCAGACACAACTCAGGGTGAGAAGTGGGATAAGAGCTCCCTTTTTGGCTTTGGGCACAGAGTGACCTGGGGCTGATTTAATTAGTGTGCTGCCTGGACACATCTCTGCGCCTTAGGAGACAGGATCTAATCACTCACCATGGCCTCAGGAGGATACTCACCGGAGTGGTTGCTGGGGTTGAGGGCGTGGCTTCATCAAAGTCCTTCATCAGAGGTCACTCCTTCTAAGTGCAGCCACCTTCCTCCAAGGAGAGTCAGAGGAGGAAGTTGGGGGGAGATCCTTTCTCCTAAGTGCTTCTGTTCCCTCTCACATGAGAGTGTTCTTTGAACCCTTGGCTTCTCCACACCTCTGCTCTGAGTGACTTATGTGAGTGATGAGTTAGGGAAGACTAGACTGGACAGACTCACCTATCTCTCTGGAGCCTGAGCTGCTCACAAGGATGGACTCCCTACCTTGCTCTGTGCCTGGTTGTATCTGCCTGGGAAGGTCGGCTTCTTCTGGGTTTCCTGTGAGGAAGTTACTGGACTCACAGTGAAGGGATATCCTCTGACTCCACCTTGATTTATCATGACAGTGATCTTCAGGCCTCTGGATGCTACTCCTGGATTTCATATTCCGGTTTCCTCAGCACCCTGGTGAGGTGGGGGAGTACCACTGGAGAACCACGCAGCATCATGGTCATACCACCTTCTTCTGTTTCATAGCAGTTTCCAGAACGTATTCACATGTCTGATCTCATCTACGGCTCCCATTTTGTAGATGAAGAGATTGAAGTTCATGGAAGTTAGCTGTCATGACCAAACTCATCATTATTAAAAGTAGCAGTGTGATAATATATCCAGGTCTCCTTACTACTAAACATAATTTTTTTCCCTTAGAGCCACAGTGACTTTGGATGTATACTGAGGGTAAGTTTTCTTTGAGTCCTTGGGGTAGTGTACACATTCATCAAAGTTTGAGCCACAGCACAGGGAACCTCTGTCAAATCGTGATAATAGTAAACTTGCCACTATATATTTTATTACTTAAAGTCTAGCACATTCATTCATCCATCTCTCATTTGAAATATGTCAAATTTTTCCCTTGTGTCTGAAATGTATTCAAATATATTTTCTTTGAGAGTTGTCCTTCATGTGTCTTTTTTAAGTGCTGAATTTTGGTATTCACTTTGTTATGTTTGTTGATCTGATGATATTTGTGACTCAACTAGAAAATGCATAATAACATTCCCCGCCCCCAATAAAATAATAAATCCCCAAATTGTTGAAGAATTTCTATAGCAGCTGCTTTCTACCAAGTACCATTGAATTCCGCTGTCTTGGCAGAATGCAATATCTATTAATTATCACAAAATTCTAAAAGCCTCCAGCTTCACAATGGAAACTATGTTGTGTTTATTTTTATGCGAAGGAAAAATTTAAAATGGTGAGGACCCAGGAGAGTCATTTCGGGCAGATAGTAGCATAATATGAATGGCGCTGGAACACTTCCCTGTGGCAGTAAACTCTTATCTCCAGCCAAGACCCATCAACGC